TCGCTAGGGAGAAAAAAATAATTTATGCATTATTATTTGCACATTTGTCCAAAACCAGTCAAAATGACTTCCTCGGGCAATCTAGTGTTAATCACCTACAAGAGACCTCATGAAGATTTCAATCCGTTTTAACGTCTACCGTTCACGGAGGTGTAGCAATCTTTGTATTTGAATTGCGCAAAACTTTTGTAGTATTTCTTCGCGGAGTATTATGAAAAGTTTTCGCGGCATAGAATAGCCGAACGATGCCAGTTGGCATGTGCCTGGCAGAGTTTATATTTGTCTGGCATGCGTTCCGCATGCAAACTAGGCACCACTATTTTCCGATTCCCCCGAGATTTCCTAAGAACCGTCTAAGCAATCGCGTCAGAAGATGATCAGCAGATTGTATCAACGATACAACGAATGAGAAATCGGCTAATCGATTTAACGCGCGGCGTTTCTCTGTTCACCGTCTGGCCGACGGATGCCCGTTAATATTCCGCGTCGCTCGGAGCTCGTGTATTATGCACGCGCCGTCGTCCGCAAAAAAGAGAGAAGAAAATAGGACAGACGCGTGCCTGTTCCCGCGGCAGTCGGTTAGCCCGGGTAGATTGCATCGCGGCGGCCGCCGTTCGCCTTTCTGGTTGCACTTGGCTGGCTTAGACGCGCGGAAACTCGCAGGTCTCTGCGGCACGGCTCCGCGTTAACCCCCCCGCCCCCCCCCCCCCACGTCATCCGGTAACGCGAACGCGTCCAACGCGCGTCTCTGTTCTGTTGAAACGTTCGTGCAACCGCCCGGCGCCGGTTCACTTTGTTCCATCCCCGGAATGTCTATTAGTTTCGTTATTTCCATCCGAAAGGGCGCGGCTCCGTGCTAACGAATACGCTACAACCGTCGACGTCGCTCCTCCTCTCTGATTCTATTACTATTATCATGCAACTTGCAGAGAAGAAAGAAAACCTTACGTTCTCCATTGGTTTCTATGAAGCACAAATCTTCAATTGCGTTCGACGAGTTGGAGAACGTGGTACGTGCGATTGACAGTGTGGGGATGATAGTTTTTTTGGTTTAACGTGTACAACATGAATTCCTCCTTTTCTTTCTGACCGTCTCATGCTGAGATGCAATACGTCTCTGAATTCTTCACATTTTATTTCGAGAAAAATCCGAAAAATCGTGTCCGAGGTATGTGTCTTCATGTGATGTCTGAATGGAACTATAGGAATTTCAGGATTTTCTCGTAGGATTGTTCTCGGATCCTGTATAGGGTGTTCTCGGATTAAACGATCAAACCAGACACGGTGGTGTCCTGAGGGGAAGGATTTGAACCGTCAGGTGGCAGTCTCATAGTTTCATAGATTAATTTATAACGTATAACAAGTTTTATTTAAAAAGATGTTCCCAATGTAGGGTTTTAATTGAAAAGTCACTAGATTCACCGATTTCGATATTTTTCGTTTCCCCTAGATTGCTTTTACCACGAAGTTAGCTGAATAGCTAAAGAATAAGAGTGACTTTCATTTTTTCATTATAATTCTTATATAAAGCATTTGCAGACGTATATGTAACATCTTCTGGTTTTTTGTAGTTTGATCGTTCAATCCAGAGACATTTTGTAAATTTTGATGCGTTCTAATTTATCATTAACGCATGTTTACCAACTGCCATTAGACATAAAAAGAGCGTTCGACTATGTGTATATATATATCTGTTGAAACGTTCGTGCAACCGCCCGGCGCCGGTTCACTTTGTTCCATCCCCGGAATGTCTATTAGTTTCGTTATTTCCATCCGAAAGGGCGCGGCTCCGTGCTAACGAATACGCTACAACCGTCGACGTCGCTCCTCCTCTCTGATTCTATTACTATTATCATGCAACTTGCAGAGAAGAAAGAAAACCTTACGTTCTCCATTGGTTTCTATGAAGCACAAATCTTCAATTGCGTTCGACGAGTTGGAGAACGTGGTACGTGCGATTGACAGTGTGGGGATGATAGTTTTTTTGGTTTAACGTGTACAACATGAATTCCTCCTTTTCTTTCTGACCGTCTCATGCTGAGATGCAATACGTCTCTGAATTCTTCACATTTTATTTCGAGAAAAATCCGAAAAATCGTGTCCGAGGTATGTGTCTTCATGTGATGTCTGAATGGAACTATAGGAATTTCAGGATTTTCTCGTAGGATTGTTCTCGGATCCTGTATAGGGTGTTCTCGGATTAAACGATCAAACCAGACACGGTGGTGTCCTGAGGGGAAGGATTTGAACCGTCAGGTGGCAGTCTCATAGTTTCATAGATTAATTTATAACGTATAACAAGTTTTATTTAAAAAGATGTTCCCAATGTAGGGTTTTAATTGAAAAGTCACTAGATTCACCGATTTCGATATTTTTCGTTTCCCCTAGATTGCTTTTACCACGAAGTTAGCTGAATAGCTAAAGAATAAGAGTGACTTTCATTTTTTCATTATAATTCTTATATAAAGCATTTGCAGACGTATATGTAACATCTTCTGGTTTTTTGTAGTTTGATCGTTCAATCCAGAGACATTTTGTAAATTTTGATGCGTTCTAATTTATCATTAACGCATGTTTACCAACTGCCATTAGACATAAAAAGAGCGCTCGACTATGTGTATATATATAAAAATAAGTGAAGAGAGACCTGAACGGAAGCAGCTGGGGTATCGGAATTTTTGCAGCAGCTCGTTTAATCTCGAGGCTCGTAAAATAGCCGCGCGATTTTTCCAAGTTGCTCCCACCTTTTTTCCTCTCGCCAGCGAGCCCTTTGAAAGCGCGCGAGCGCGGGGGTTAACCGCACCGGCCCGGTGACCTTTCCCCTTTAAAAGCGTAGCTCGTCAGAATTTTTCCGATATACCCTTGGTCCTCGACGGTTGGCACCAGCCACCGTCGTCGCACCGCTGCGCTGGTTTATCGCGCTATCGGTCTATCCCGGCGCTTGTCTCCTTCCGTTTGTCCGTTCACCCTCCTCCTCCTCTCCTCTCCTCCACCGGATAAATGAAACGCGGCAGTCGCGAGAGCAAATAAGTCACGCGTTTCCTTCCTACAGGATGGATACGAAATTGCGGAGCCGAAAGAGCGATCAGCGGACGGGCGTTTTATAAATTCATGAAATGTACGTATCCGGGGCTATCAGAATCCATCGTTGTCTGGGGAGGGGGGGAAACTTTCGGAAACTGGGCCGTCGCGCCGCTTAAGCGAGCCGATATCGAAGCATCCGCTGACCCGTAAATTATACCGAATGCAGTTACTTTGCCCGGAAGCGAGACCTGATCGTTTGTTCTTCCGTCGAAAATTTCCGTTTACCCGGTTGTATATACAGATGGCTCATTGGCTCCCGGACTTTCATATTACACATTCTCATGCATAAAAAAAAAAATTGCAACACGTTCTCTGCCTCTTCAGCTTCGCTCCTGTCCATGACTGTTTTTTGTGCGCGCCAAGTGGGGAGTCCCTTGAGTCGCCGACGAGGCTTAGGCTAGGTTAGGCTAGGTTAGGTTAGGTTAGGTTAGGCTTGAGGCTTTCCTTTTTTTTTCTAGTAGAAAATAATAGCCAATTCTAATTTGCGTTAATAATAACTGAACGAAAGACGTATAGATTTTTATTCGGGTCGACCATTTTAATTTGGTCGCCGGGAAATAGGATTTGACGCTGGGTAACAACGATATTACGATACGAAAAGATATCCAGTGTATCGACCTTCGATTCTGTTCCGCGGCGCGCGCGTTTCCTATTACAAGCCTCGTCAATTCGATTCGATCCGAGCCGGGCTCACGTTCCACGGTCCATCGCAGCGTGCAATTTTCCATTCATTGTGCGGCACGCGATTTTTCTTCCACGGGTATTTCCCGTCGGCGAACAGAGCGCCACCGTGCCACCGCGCGTCCTCGTATATATTTTGTAAGGGAATACCCGCGCGTAATGGGGCAAAATAACGGGGAAGGTTATCCCTTCTAAATTTCAATTCCGTTCGCCCGTAGGAATTATAACAATGGACGGTCGATATCAAATTTTATGGAGTTTCGCTCGTTCGATGGCTGGTTCGCCTCCTAGCCGTCGCCGTCGTTGTTCGATGGTCGTTATCCGCGCGACGTTACGCGCTCGTCTTTCAGTGAGACTCCCTCCCCCAATTTCGATACGTCGCCCAACAGTCGCGTCACAAATGCGATGCGAATTACGATAAATTATCAGGTTCTAGAGAAATAAACGGTCTAGGGATAAAATGGTAAAATATAACCTTGAATTCAACTTGCATAGAAAACGTTTCGTGCCAATTTTCAAACCTCTATCTCAATCCGGAGGGTAGTTATTGGGGTTAATCAGGTTTAGCGTTCCCCTATTAAATATCTAGCAAAAAATCTGAAAAAATTCTCACATGTTCGTGGGATAGCGCTCGATACTAGGGAATTTTTTCCAGATTTTTTTTACTAGACGTTTAATAGGAGAAATATGGCAAGACCGTTAAACCTGATTAACCCCCATAACTACCCTCCGGATTGAGATAGAGGGTTGAAAATTGGAACGGAACGTTTTCTTTGGACACTCTATAGGGACATTTTATCATCTTGTCCGGTTAGACCCTGCAACGTGTTTATAATTACATTTTATTTCCGTTCCAAGTGGCGATACAAGCGTTATCAATAATTGTAAAAAGTATGCATCATCCTGTGTAGAAAGAACAACCAGAAGAGTATGATGAAGCTGCAAACGATATAGTGGAGTATCTGCATTGTTCGAAATTTCCTATCAGCAACGGGATTCTTGTCCACCGGTTCCTTCGTCAGACGACGAATAGAGCGTAGAATCATTTCCACTTTTTTGTTCCAATTTACTTCGTTCAAATTAAACTGGAACTGACTCAAATCCGTGGCGTTCATCCGATCCAAGATACGTTTCGATTTGTCCGTTTTTATAACCCAGTTGGAGAAGAAGTATATCAATTCATCGTGATTCTTGTACGCTTTCAGTAACATCTTTATTGCCCTGTGAAAAGAAATTTTGCGAAATAATCTCGAGGTTATTAGAAGGAATATTTAATTCAGGTCACGATTGCTAGGGGGACTTACATCGGTTTTCTCAGTCGAAGCAGTAAAATCAAATCGACGATTATAGCCGGGAATACGTGCCACAATGTGTGGAGGATGAAAAAACCGATACTGTTCTCGACCGTCATGAAACACGGGTACCAAACCATTTTAGACAGGGGATATTTGCGAACCGCCATAGGGAACTGCTCCACCGCCATCTTGATGGTAAACGAGTTCCAGTCGGACGACGCGTAGTTGTACACCTCCGGTTCTTTGGATTTTCTAAAAAAAAATGGTCATCGTTACATTGCCGTTACATCAGCGACCTCTGAAGTTTGTATCAGCCCTTATATGCAACAATTATATTAGCAAAACAAATTCAAAGTGACAATGGTTACACGATGTAAAAGAGAAAGGTGGTCCTAAGCAAGAGTGGGGCAAGAAATCCCTCACGATGGTAGTGGGGATAACCTATCAATGGTGAGAGTGAGGGATTTCTTGCCTCATTCTTGGTCCTAAGGACCATTTCTACCATGTCCTGATTATGTGATAGTAAACGTTGTGTCAATAGGAGGCGCATGAATAAAAAGGGTGTAGAGTTGGTTGTTTTCGTTTACCAAACCCTCTGGCGGATTTTCACAACAACACAATCTCCACAAAACCAACAGTGCGAGAATGTGGTCCTTCAGACCACCCGTCTCTCTTACATCGTGTGTGTATATAAGGATACGCGGTAGCCCAATGACCTGCCGGCTCAAACTTGCCTCCGCGTGCCTTGATGAACATTAAAAATTCCTATGACTAAAAAGGGTCGAATTCGAAGGGGCGAAGGGTATCTTCATCATCAGTTTTTCTAAATGTCCATCGCTTCAAGTAATGGGCATAGCTTTTCGTCGTTCTTAAATTGGGCATAGCTTTTCATGGCTCTTTTAGCAAAGATCTGACGATTCATACAGCTAGTAACAATGAAACTGAGCCAGTTCGGGCTTGTTTAGTTTCCCCTAGGGACAAAATTAAAAACTAGTAATAAGTCTACATTTTATTTTTCAATGCTCGATCTGGCATTGATACTGTTGGACTTTAACACAATTTTGATACGTCAATGACGTAGACGTATTACTCGTCTTGAATTTTGTCCCCCTAGGGGAAACTAATACAAGCCGGAACTAGCTCAGTATCATTGTCACTAGCTGTACAACCTTCTATCGTTCATGGTTATCGAATACCATCCACCCAGCAATGCGATGATACCTGTACGTTACGTGATCCCAAATGATAGCCAGAAGATTGTTAGTCGTAAAGTCAGCTGGCACAAAATCCATACTGTTCTTCTTGATCATTCTGACTACGCGTAAGATGCCCAGAGCACATGCGTAGGTGATTACTATCGGACCATGCTTATTCCCAACCCACGCGTCGATCGGCTCCTTGTACGTTTCTGAAACTGTGTCACATGCGTTCGAGAACGTTTAAGTAAATACATTCAGTGACAATTTTCTATTCTAACCTATACTCGTGTTTCAGAGAGTCTAGGACCGGGCATAGTTCAGTTTTTGGTCGTTCTGCGCATCTCAATGCTTTACCATCTTAGAGCATATACTACATGGAGGAAGCACGCCTAGTTAACAGGGTTGAGATATTTTTACCCACGGCCGGAAAGTGGGGACGACGCGACCATGGTGGGGACCAATAGTTGGTGGGGGTATGCAGTGATTTTCACGGTAGCGCTGCGGAGAGCTTCGCGAACGCGCATGAGCACGCATGAGGGGAATAGTAGTGGGGATCGAAATACGGGCGAAAAACAGGGGAAGCGAGCCGTGCACGTAAAGTTACGAGATCCCTGGTTTTGGGTACTCCTTCTCTCTGTCTAACAGTAGAGATAGAGGGGGAAGTCTCCGCCAATTATCCTAAACGGCGCGAAATCACGTGCGTACGCGAGAGAGAAAGGTAGTACCCAAACCATCATCTCTCTCTCTCTCTCTCTCACCGTTGTCTACACTTTTTCCTTAGGCGTGTTTCCTCCATGTAGTATATGCTCTAAGTTAACCATGCACACTGAATCGTGTGGAGGGGGTCCGCTGCGACCCCCACCACCTTCCAAGCTGCGCGAAACGGTCCTATACTCTCAGGAACACGAGTACAGTTATCGGGGTGATTCATACGTATGGATGGTCTGTAGACGATGCAAGGGAGCGAATGCTTCCGGCTGAAGTCATGGACCACGCCCTCGGTAACAGCTTTGCTGAACGAGTACAGGTTGATCCAACTGCCGATGATGTCTTTCAACGCCTCCTTGGATAGGCCGGTCGCGTTTTCTTCGTCGACTCGTATTATGTCCAGAATCGTCTCCAGGCCGCACGGCGGTGCATAAAACTCCTCCCCGATCGTGCTCTTGTGATGGTGCGAGTACGCGGTCGACGTGTAAACGAACAGGTCGAAGCTTCTGCATTCCGCCGCTAACTCGAGCAGCTTCAACGTTCCAATCACGTTTATCCGTAGAAGAACCGACGGCTTCGCGAAGAAGTAGACCATCGCCGCGTTGTGGATGATTATGTTCACGTTGCTCGTCAAACGCAGCCGGTCCTCCGACGAAATGCCCAAATCGGGTTTCTGTAGATCACCGTAGATCGGCACGATCTTCTCCCCGAAGTTCGGATTCGCCCCCCGCATCCTGTCGAACACCTGCGATCACGATAATTTCAGTTTCACGTTTCTTTTTTTTTTTTTTTTTTTTCAAGTCCGCTACTCACTTCGTTTTGTAACATCTTCTTCATACGTTCTTCAGCTGATACGTCCCTCTTCGGTCGAATCATTATATAAATTTTGCCAACGTCGGTGCACGTACGTAACAGTTTCTCTAGAATCAGAGTGCCTAGGTAACCTGGGCAGCCTGTTAGGAGTACGTGTTTGCCGGCATAAAACTTTGCTATCCGGCTATCGTCGCCCTCCCCCGATCTTCCTTCCCTCCCTGCGAAGGGTGCTGCCGCTCCTACGTTGTCCATTCTTCTAGCAATTATTTTTTTCGTTTCAACTGCGGAACGTGTTGCCCGACTGATTCCTGATAACGAACTGACGATTAAATGATAAATGCAATCGACGTTCGGACAAACCTCGCTCTAATTTCAGTTCCTTTTATAGCGTGCATTTAATGTATAGTCATTTCGATCTGCATATTCATAATTGTTTTTGTAATGATGAATCGACGTTTCATATCGTTATCATAATCGATTCGTTGAACCATCCACGGCAATTGAGGTTGCGTTCCTTAAGGACGTTAGTCCCAAAATCCATTTTCTATAGAACGTTTTGAAATTTTGCATGACTATTCAATAGAGCATAACAAATATATGTGTAAAATCTTAGAGAGATCTGATGATTCGGAGAGTAGCAATAAATTATCGAATTCGCAACTTTACCATGTGAAAACGAGAAATGGCCAGTAAAATGATGGATTTCAGTAATTTAAGGAAAAACGGTTCTATAGATATTTTCAAAAAACTGACACATGCTAAATTAACTTATTACAATTG